ATATATATATATATATATATATATATATATATATATATGTACATACATGTATTCAGAAAAATAAACAAAAGTAAAGTTCAATAGTTTTCCTTTTGTTCATATCGTCACTCTTTATCAGAACTAGTTTATATTTGTAAACGGATGCGTTACGTTACCATTTTACGATTATTTACGACTGTTACTTTTTCAGCGTCTAATTATTTTTTTTTTCTTTCTTTATTTTTTCTTCTTTCAATTGACAGTACCTTCTGGAGGCAGGATGGTGCGAAGATGGTAAAATAATAGGAATAACAGAGCCCAGAAGAGTTGCTGCTACGTCATTGGCAAGTAGAGTTGCCGATGAACGTAATTGCATATTTGGTACCGAAGTTGGTTATTGCATACGTTTCGATGATTGTACCAACGAATCAACAAAGATCAAGGTATATACAAAATATGATTGTTTTTATTTTATTATCGTTTGAAACTATGATATATTTCTGGTGTATACTTTTTATCAGATTATTTTCATACGGGAAGACATTATGGGGGGGGAGATATATGAAATGTAATAGTGGAAGATAACATGATAATACATCGTATTTCTTGTTCGTCTATAATTAATTATATTGACATATGCTTTTTAATTAATATTTTAACATTTAGTATTTTATTTTATTTACAGTATATGACGGAAGGAATATTATTACGTGAATTAATGAGCGATCCATTGTTGACGACATATGCAATTATCGTATTAGATGAAGTACACGAAAGAACCTTAATGACGGATATCATTATGGGTCTCTTGAAGAAAATTATTCGAGTAAATGAAATTATTATTATTTTATCTGTGTTCGTTGGATTATTATTTTTTTTCCTTGCTTTTTCAAGAAACATTCTGATTTTTTTTTTGGTGCTTTATGGGCTATATTTTTTAGGTCATCATTATCAAATATATTTTTTTTATGATAAAATATTAATGTGTAATATAAATGAGTAATATTACACTATATACAAACTGTTAAAAAAATACTTTTTATGTTTCTATTATAAATACTGACTATTTATTTAACAAAATATTGATCAAATAAATGACGAATTTTTGATTTTATAACAGAAACGTAAAAGTTTGAAAATCGTAGTCTCCTCCGCAACGGTCGATGCAGAACAGCTACGTGATTTTTTTAATATGAATACAACAAAGGACTCTACAAAGGACACAGCAGTAATTATGAGCGTCGAGGGTAGATTATATCCAGTAGATATTTTTTATGTCAGAGGTAGAGAACTAATTTAATGTATATCATTGACCCCCACACTTACAATTAGTATTATTTAAAATTTTTGTTCTGTAATGTTTAAACATTTTTAGAACCAGTTCCGAATTACGTTACTAGTGTTGTGGATACAGCTTTAAAGATTCACGAAGTAGAGGAACCTGGTGACATTTTAGCATTTCTCACGGGACTCGACGAAGTAGATCAAGCAGTTTCTCTTCTATCGGAACATGCTAAACTTATAAAGGATGGAAAACGTAAATAGAAAATATTTTATTTCATACTTATAATTATTTAATTGGTCCGAGTTATTTATCTCATATTTTGGTTTGAAATTTTTAAGTTGTGAATGTTTTTAAAAATTATTTTTGTGTACAATTAGACAAATAGGAAAATTATATATAGTTATATATTTAAAAATAATAATAGTCTTTTGATATAATTAGAAAACGTTAAGAATAGTGTGTTAGGAAAATATCTTTTAATATTTCAAATTACTTTTATAATCATCGGATTAATAGTTGAGTAATTTTATTTCAAAAACTTTTACGTTTTTTTACTTTTCTATATGTTTTTGTTTGTTTCCTTTTTTATAGTAAAATTACAACCACTGGCGATGTATGGATCTCTACCGAACAATGAACAACTCAAGGTATTTTGGAGAGCTGCCAAAGATACGCGAAAAGTTATAGTAGCGACAAATATCGCTGAAACTTCAATTACTATTCCGAACGTCGTTTACGGTAGAGAATCGCAGTACGCTTTTATGATACTTTTAGTTTACTAAATGTTAACATTAGAATTATTCTCCTGAACTATCAAAATTATGTTAACGTCAATTATTTAACTTTACGATATTACAGTGATCGATTGTGGCTTTGTTAAGATGCCCTGGTTTGAGCCAGAAACTCAAACTAATAGTCTTACCATTGTACCCGTATCTAAAGCTTCGGCTGATCAACGAGCCGGACGCGCGGGTAGAGTTCAAAGTGGAAAAACGTTTAGGTAATAAACGAGATAAGAAATGTTTAATTTCTTATAATCATGAATTTTTTAAATTAATTTTATATATACACATATGTGTCGGTTAAATTATAACAGTGGATTAAGTTAAATATATATATATATTTATTTATTTTGTTTTGTTTAGATTATATACAGAAGAAGCATATAAAGAATTACCAGAAGCAACGCCACCAGAAATGCAAAGATCGGATTTAGCACCAGCCGTCTTGCAGTTAAAAGCATTAGGAATCGACAATGTACTTCGGTTCAATTTCCCATCAGCTCCACCCAGTAAAAATCTTATAGCAGGCATGGAATTACTTTATGCATTAGGTGCTATAGATAATGACGGAGAATTGACGACACCTTTAGGCATGACAATGGCAGAAATGCCATTAGAGCCTACCTTTGGAAAGTGTCTTATCGTTTCCGGTAATAAATTTTAATAGGTTTCTTTTTTTATTTTCTTCGAGGTAATCGTTTGGAATATAAAACTTATCGTAATATGGTTTTATCATTTCTTTTTTTTTTTATCTTTTAACAGGACAAATGGGTTGTTCCGAAGAAATGGCCACGATAATAGCGATGCTCCAAATACAAAATGTTTTTATTCGACCTGGGGGTGGTCAAGCTATTGCAAAAGCAAGAGTAGCTCATCGTAAATTCGAAGTCGAGGAAGGCGATCTGTTAACGTTATTAAATGTTTATGACGCTTATGAGAAAAATAAAACTCCGAGTTGGTGTCAAAAGAATTTTCTCAACAACAAAGCTCTACGAAGGGCTTCGGAAATTCGTGGACAAATTTGTCGAATGTTGAAAAAATTGGATATTCCTTTGATCTCTTGCAATGGTATAACAATGATCCCGTTTTGAAAATCAATTGTGATCGTTAAATTAAAACTAGTTTTGATATCAAATTTCGTTTATTGTTGTAGGAAACGTAGAACAGATCTTGAAATGTATAACAACAGGATTATTTCCGAAAGCTGCTTATTTACATTATACTGGAGTATAT